ATGGTGTCTGTTTCTCTGATGTGATAAACTCAGTCTGACTTCTAGGAGGCTGTTTGAGCCCTTTAATCACTAATAACATACATATATTTAGATGTTACAGGATTGTGGGTCTTGGAAAGCAGCTTTTTAACAATGATCCAATATATTATTATATAGTATATCATATACGTTTACTACTACTCATGTTCGTAAAAAAACAAAACAAAAAAAACAACAACCTGTATCCTCATATCCCCAGAGGCTGTATGACAATGATCAGGTTATTTATCAGTTTATAAGTCCTCATCACGCATAATATAAGGATGCATGTGGGATATATTACAATTCCAAAGAAAATGGCTGCTGTTCTATTTGTTTACCTATTACATCTAAGATGAGTGACAGTAACATGAAATCGTTATATATTTTTCTGTGAATATGATTTGATATTAACCTGATATACAAGATACCTTTTTGGACAGTGCCAAATAGGAAGCTCTCTGTAGAAAACCAATCAATATTCATTTAGGCATTTTAGGGATCTTTAATAATTACTCAGTCTTAATGATTAGTCAGTCAAATATTTATTTGCCAAGAATTTTATTTTTTCAGGGTGTGGAATTGTAAAAATACAAAGGAAAAAGTTAGTTTGTAGTCAAAAGTTTTTAACAAGAAAAAAAACCCATCTGATATCAGAAGTCGAAAACAGCAACAAAACCAAACAAGATTGTAAATCTTCCTCAGAGTTTGAAGTGTCCGAGTTCCTTTTTACAGCAAATAAGAATTTCTGACATTCAACAAATATTTTTGGTGCAGTTTTAGTCTATTTTGGGGTTTTCTTTTTTCTCAAAACTCCCCAAACCCTTTCTAAAGCTCAAAATCACTGAATGAAAAATAAACAAGCTTAATATCTGAATGAAATATTTCCTGATTTTGTGAATGATCTTATTTTACATCACATGTTCCATTGAAAGCTAATGTTTTTCTTCTCTCATGTTACAAATCAGTTTAGTATTAACTGAAATAGAAATGATGACAGCTTGAGTTCTCTCTGAACACTACTGTATTCCCTTTTTTGTGGTACAACACAGATATTTTCTCAGGTACTGCTTAAATGTCTTGTCTCGTAGCCCATACACGATGGGACTGACGAACCGGGGAACAACCTGGATGATGATGTACCAAACGAAGAGAACTTGAATGTAATGTTTAGGGAACCAACTCACCAAAGCAGTTTTTAGAAGGTGGGCTAAAAAAGTGAGCATACTTAACAGCAGCTGGAAGCCATGAAGCAGGATTGTGTTCCTGGCCTTTTTTATTTTTCCATCTGATGAATTAGCAGCTTTGGCAGCAACGAAAATCTTGAAGTAGGTGTAGAGGAGGGTGAGCCAGACTCCACCGAGATAGATCAGGTAAGAAACATCTCTCTTCTGCAAACTAGCTGGGTGTCTGAACAGGTTATCCCTCTCACAGAATATGATGGAGTAAAATAACCGTTCAGGCTCTGTTGCTAGAATAATAAAGACATCTGTCAGAATGGACACTGCACTCACAGCCCAAATACAGCAAATCAGCACATATGTTCTTTTAACGGTACAGAGCCGTGAGTGTTGCAGGGGGAAGCAAACAGCTATGTAACACTCCACTGCCATCACAGCCAGATTTAAAGGAGTGTTGAGGGTGGTGAAGACTGTAAAGATAAGAATAAAGCAACAGAGGGAGGCATGGATCTTATAGAAGACATAACTAAATAAAAACAGACTGATAGCAGCAGTGAGCTGGATCATGTCATTCAACACCAGGTGGATGAACAGGAT